TTCCCAGGGGGTGAAACCCCCCCGGGGCTTGTTTGGTCCCTGGGTTAAAGGCCCCCCCCCCCCCCCCCAACAAAAAACTTCACCCCCACCCCCCCCCAAGGCAATTATTTTTTGGGGCTGGGGGGCCTTGTTTTTTTGAGAAAAATTGGCCCCCCATTGAAAAATTTTCCCGGGGAAAAAAAAAAAAAAAAAGGTTCGTTGGGGGTTCCGTCCCCACCCGAAACCCCCCCCCGGAAACCCCCAAAAATGATTTTATTTTTTTTTTTGGTTTTTAATTTTCGTTTTTTTTTTTTCCCCCGGGTGGGTTCCCCCCTTTTTTGTGGCCCCCATCCCCCCCCATTAAGGTTTGGGGTTTTTTCCTTTCCCTCCTTGGGGGTTGCCAGCCTTCTTTCTTCCCCCCCCCCAAAAATTGGGGGGCCCTAAAGGGGGGGGGGTTTTTTTTTTCTTAACTCCCCCCCCCCCCCCCCCCGTCGACCCCGACATATCTGATTTGGCGGGGCAAACGCAAGGATGACGACCAGTATATTTGTTCACCCTTGTGAAACGTACCCTGGGACAGCGAAAAATCGGCACATCCCTCCGTCCTCTCGAGGACGTGTGGTCATTGGTCTAGCAACTTAAGGCATGCAAGACATGAACACGCCCCGGCCGTCATCTCACCGTCGGCCAGTACTTCGCGTGCTTGTCGCAGGCGTTGAAGAGGGGGTGCAGCAGTCTCCCGGCGCTGTAGGGGGATATGCCCTCGTACATGCCCGACGCCTTGAGCTCCTTCCAGACCTTTATAGCCTCGTCCATGGCGGCCTCGCTCTCCTGCTCGTCGTACCCTTCGACGCCTTCGGTCCGCTTCGCCTGGATTGTGATTCGGTACACGCAAGTCATGTCAACGAACGCGAGCAAGGCAGGGCATGCAGGGCGTGACTCACCTACTGCTCTTGGAAACAAGTCTGACAGGGCTACAGTGTGTGCTCGCGCTGCCCAGCTCTCCGGCGTCACGCATTGCCATCTACAGTACACACGGTTGTCACGTCGAGCGTTGTCGTAAGGCTACCCGGCTCGACAACGAGAAACAGCGATGCTGCCTCCATCCGCCCGCCTGTTCTTTGCATGCAAGTAGGTGTCAAGCGCTTGCCTGAAAAGCGTAAAAAAAAGGGGGGGGAGGCAAGCAACGTCTGAGTTGCATGGCTCGCCCTCTGCCCCCCCCCCCCCCCCCCCCCCC